CACGTAAAATTAGGGTACTGTACATTCAACATTAACCCAAAGTTAATGCCCACTTAATACGATTTCGAAATGGCAATTAGTTAGGCTGATATGATCGATAATGTAAAAACGCAAAATTGCGCGTAGATGACGTCACGCATGACTGAGCGCGTTGAAAAGCTTACCATGACTATTCCAGACCAAGCCAAATGTCTGTTGACAGCGATTGTGCGGTAACTCGTGGCATTTTTTGAGATATCGTGCGAACAAAAAAGGGGAGAAAGAAAGAAGAATAAGAAACTAGATTTGAACTCGTCATTGAGGACGAGTTAGGTGATCCGCCGTACTTTGACCCTCACGAAGTACGCACGGTTCTGATTGAAAAGTATTATATGCTAAAACATGCTCTTTTTAAAGAGTAATTTTGAGCATTTTAAAAGGAATTTTAAAGGAAAAGAGTAATTTTGAGCATTTTAGGACTTATGAATGTGGACACATACGTCTTAACGTCAGTGCGCACGGTAGTAATAATAAAGTGTCAGAAACCCAACACATGTAACCGAAACGTAATTTCCAGCTTCAGTACGTGCTGTGGGCGTGGAAAGGAGCGTACGGCGTGTAAATTTTGGAAAGTTTTGGAATATTCAAAATGACCTGAAACGTGCTTTAAATTATCTGAAAAGTGATATTAACAATTTTAAAATTTTAACGCATAAGTACGAATACCTTATACGACGTGCTTGACGACGGTAATGGCACATGAATTTAAACTTTGTCAAGTTTAATTTAAAACCCCCTGTTGGTTGGTAATGCCACACGAATTTTGCCTTTACAGTATATGAACTATCGGTCTGATAGTGTCGAAATACAGTCTGCCGCCCTCTATTTTCAATGTGTAATACATCTTTCAAGAAAGAAAGATGAGAAGGCTCCAAAAAAGCATTCTTTTTGACCATGATGACGTCACCAAAATAAAAAATAAATGGACACGTCCGAAAGAGAATTGATTTAGCTATAACATACTCATAGGTGGGAGACAATCAATCAAGATAAGCGAGTACGTTCAAACGAGTATAAAAAGTAATAACGTCATAAATAAAATTAAATTTTTTCTTAATTCAAATGGCAAAATGATGACGTCAAAATGTCCGATCAGCCATTATGATCTATAAAATCGTATCTACAACTCATGTGCTTTCAGAATATGTAATAAAAATTGGGGGTCACCTTTCATCCTATGGAGCTATAACTGATTAAAAACATTCTCGGTTTTATGCATATATAAATGTTGACGCACGCGTACGCGCACGTAAAGTCGCACGAACTGAAAATTAAGGTACGTGACATTCAACCTTGACCTGAAGATTATGCTCACTTAATATGATTCAGAAATGACGAATGGTTAAGATGATATGGGCTCATCAACGTTTTGAGGAAAGAAAGATGTGGGGGTCAGAAAAAACAATTTTTTGGACCATGATGACGTCATCAAATTCTAAAATGAAGTCAAATATATGAAAGAGAACTGTCTCAGCTATAACATTTAGAAGACGATCGATCAAAGATAAGCGAGATACATAGCAATAAATCACTTTCTTTGAATTCAGACGCCAATATGATGACGTCATAATGTCCGATCAGCCAATGTGATCTCTAAAATCATATTTACAACTTATGTGCTTTCAGAATATGTAATAAAAAATGGGGGTCACCTTTTAACCTAAGGAGCTATAACTGATTAAAAATAAGTCCGATTTTAGCATAATTTCACTGAATAGGGCACAAATACGCACAAAGATACCTATGTTTGATGCGCACCTACGGTATTGCTATTGGCCAAAAGATGACCGAAAAGAATGGAAATTTGTGAAAACAATGTCCAGAACACAAAATATGTAAAATAACGTGATTTCTAGCTTCCGTACGTGCTGCGCACGTAAAAATGCGCTCGCGTAGTGGAAAATTTCAAATGCTCAAAATGGCCTAAAGCGTGCTCTAATTTAGTCAAAAAGTGATTTTGAGCATTTTAAAAATTTGACGCACGCGTACGCGCGCGTAGGGAAGCGCACGCGTCAAATTAGGGTACAGTACATTCAACATTAACCCGAAGTTAATGCTCACTTAATACGATTTCGAAATGGTAATTGGTTAGGCTGATATTATCGATAATGTAAAAACGCAAAATTGCGCGTAGATGACGTCACGCATGACTGAGCGCATTGAAAAGCTTACCATGACTATTCCAGACCAAGCAATATGTTGGTTGACAGCGATTGTGCGTAACTCGTGGCATTTTTTGAGATATCGTGCGAACAGAAAATGGGAGAAAGAAAGAAGAATAAGAAAAAAAAGATGTTGATCCTGACAATAACAAGAGGTGATCCGCTAGTGTAGCGGATCACCAAAAAAAGATGATGATGATGATCCTGACAATAACAAGAGGTGATCCGCTAGTGTAGCGGATCACCAATTACTGTATTACAAACACAATTATTATAGCGAAGACAGTCTACAAATTATACCATTTTTACAAACTTAAACACATGAAAACTGTACATTTAAAATAGGTTTAGAACAAAGTCTACGAACAGGGACATTAAGATAGAAATTAAAAACAATATTACAGGTAAACATAGAATTAAAACACATATATAACTAGATATGAACTCGTCATTGAGGACGAGTTAGGTGATCTGCCGCACTTTGAACCCCAAGGAAGTGTGTGCGGTGCAGATTGAACAATTTTTAAATGCTGAAAATGGCCTAAAGTATACGCTAATTCAGTTTTTTTTTTAAAGAACTTGGAGCATTTTAAAAAAATGCATACGCGCACGTCGTCATGACCCACGTGCGCATGGTAATGTCAAGAAATGTTCACTCATGATATGAGATACATGTATCAACTCTCATTGACAAACGCTTGTTGTTGAGGGACTTATTATCATTCATAATATTTACCATATACAATATATAACAATTGAGTTTCTTGAATTCAGATGGCAATATGATGATGTCACAATGTCGGATCAGCCATAATGATGTATAAAAGCATATCTAAAACTCATCTGCTTTCAAAATATGTAATAAAAATTGGGGGTCACCTTCCATCCTAAGGAGCTATAACTGATTAAAAATATTTATGATTTTAAGCACATATACATTTTGACGAACACGTACGCTATAAAGCGCAAACGGAAAATTATGGTACATGACATTCAACCTTGACCTGAAGTTTATGCTCACATAATATGATTCTATAACTGATTGAATATAGGCATGATTTTTGCAAATTTTCAGTGTTTTTCGACAAAAAGGCGCACAAGGATTTGACCATGATGACGTCATCAAAATGTAAAAAAAGTTATACTTATGAAACTTAATTGTCTCAGCTATAACATACTCAAAGTTAAGAGACGATTTATTAAAGATAAGTGAGATACGCCCAAATGGGTATTTTAACAAATGACGTCATAAATAAACATTCAGATTTTTTATATCAAGTGGCAATGTGATGACGTCACAATGTCCAATCAGCCATTTTGATGCATAAAATCATATCTACAACTCATGTGCATTAAGAATAAGTAATAAAAATTGGGGGTCACCTTTCATCCTAAGGGGCTATAACTGATTGAAAATAGGTGTCAGTGTTTCAAAATGTCAGTGTTTGTCGACAAAAACGAGCACAAATATTCATAATTTGATGCGCGCGTAAAGCATTACTACTGGCCCTAATGACTGAAAAAGAATGGAAGTATGTGAATACAAAAACTTGTCAGAAACCCAAAACTTGTGAAAAAACAAAATTTCCAGCTCCCGTACGCGCTCCGCGTATAGAAATGCGCACGCGGTGCGGAAAATTTGAAAAATGATGAAATGCTCAAAATGGTCTGAAACCTACTCTATTTTAGTCAGAAAGTGATTTTGGACATTTTAAAAGTTTGACGCACGCGTTATGACGCGCAGGCAAAATATTTTGGTACTTGATATTCAACATTGATCTGAAGTTTACGCACACTAAATATGATTTAGAAATGACAATTGGTGAGAATGACATGATCGATAATGTAAAAACAAATTGCGCGTAGATGATGTCACGCATGACTGAGCGCGTTGAAAAGCTTACCGTGGCTATTCAAGACCAAGCCAAATGTTCGTTGAAGTGCGATTGTGCGTAACTCGTGGCATTTATCAAGATATCGTGCGAACAATAAAAAAAAAGATGAAGATGATGATCCTGGCAATAATAAGAAGTGATCCGCACTAGATGCGGATCACCAAAAATGTAAATCATTAATTTGTCTTTTAATTTTAGGAGAAATAATAGGAGTTTGGCAAGGCCAACAGGTTCCTGGGCCGAGAAAACGTAAAAACTTATTGAGGATTCTTTCAATTCTAGAATATTGTGACAGATATTGAATTATAGATAACTAAACAAAAATCAAATAAAGGTTGGATAAGGGATTTATAAAGTTAAATTTTTGTGGTTGGAGGAAATTTATGACAATTGCGCCACATCAGTCCAAGTAACCTGTTGGCCTTGCCAACGACATGGTCAATATGAAAAGCAAATGTTAGTTTTTTGTCAATAAAAATGCCTGTCTCTATGGCATTCAACATTTTGAAGTGCCTCGTTAGAAACCATATATTCAAAATTAATTGGATTAGTTTTGAGCGCACAAGAGAGTACTTTGCATTTCTCAGACTTTAACGACATTTTCCAATTGGTAACCCACTGTTCGAGTTTGTCAAGGTCGGCCTGAAGTGCATGAGAGTCCTTAATGGTGGAGAATTATTTTACATATCTTGAGGTCATCAGCAAATGTTCTTTATACTTCACACTAACCGTGCAGTCTTTTCGCAGAATGGCTTCGCCAACAAACAAATCAAGACCGAGTCTCCAGTAAACATTGTTTGCCAATGAAGGTGATGTTTAGAAACTAATCACAGAAGTGCGCTATGCACGCACCATCTCCTTAAACACATCTGAAGTACTGTAATAAATAATTTAAATTCTATAATTTGTGAAATTTCCATGATTTTAATGCCAGAATCATCAACTAACAGATATTAACTTTTTCAAGCAAACATAAAATCTATGCAATGGAAGCAGAAGAGATAAGCTTCACTCAAGCGTGTGATCTTTTGGAGAATGATTAGCAAAACAAATTGCCAGTCCCAACTCCAAACCCAAGAGATTTCCAATAACAATTTACCTGACCTCACCAAAGATTTTGAATAATAGTATAGGCCTACATTTTACTTTTTATATATATGCATTTGTAAATTACGGTAATTTGTAATAAAACATTCAAACATTATATTTTGCTTGGATTCTCTGTTCTCTGCACTGTGAGGTAAAAAATAGTATATATTGGCCGAACAATAGTGTACATAGCTAAACATGTGCCCTCTGTAAATTAACTAATTTGAAACGGAGCCATTATATCTGTAAGTTTCCATACGGCATTGGTGGATCCAGAACTTCTCACTCCCAAACCAATTATAAAAAAAATTGCATGACCATACAATATAAAACAAAAAATATAGTCTATCAAGAAGTTTTATAAAATTTCAACTACACTTTTCAAACAACAAAAAAAAAGTCTAGCACCCCATGTACTAATTATGTAATATTATTTCCTGTGAGAAAACTGGCCTCATACTAGTGGGGAAGGGGGAGGGGCACACACAGATACACTTTACTTTACTCAGAGTCGTTTTTGATAACATATGGTATTATTCACTTTATACTGCCAAGTCTTTCCATTAATACAGTTTTCCCTTCCTCTAAATTATGTTGAAGAATCCTCACACCATCTGTACATAAAATGACCAATTCACAAATGCCATCTCCTGTAATATCAGCATATTCAAGTGCCATTAATGAATGAGCAAATTTTCTTTCATAAACTAATCTGTATTCTTCTACTGGTAACCATATATCATGTTTCTCCTCATCATCTCGTGCTCCTGTGTTTAAATTTCCTTTAGTTTTCTCATCACTACACCACTTGTAGGCCAGTAAAGAATGTCCATTTGTTCCTAGAAGCAACTCCCTTTCCCCATCCCAATCTATGTCTACTACACAAGCACACATTACCAAATCATAGCAATTTGAGTCTGGAAGTGTCTTCACATTTTTAAATCCATTTTTTAAAACATCTCGATAAACTACGGATGGAGTTGTGACGGAAGATGCAAACAGGTGACACACTTTAAATACAACAGAGTTCTTATATATGGTGTCAAAATAAAGCTTAACAACCAAAATAGGGTGGTCATGTTTGGTTTCCCAACGCTGCAAGATATTCAAAGTTGTCAAATCTACAACACAAACCACAGTAGCACCATTGTCACATCCTATAGCTGTGATACGTTTGTCTCCAAATTCTAAGATATCTAAGCAAGTCACACAAGTTGACAAATTATGAAGTTCTGGGAAGAAATTATCACATAGCACTTCAGAATATTTATTGGTACTTCCAAAGTCTTCTCTTTCTAACATGAATACATGAACTTTCGAGTCATCACCACTAACCAAACAGAGATTAACCAACATCCCATTATGCTTTACAAGTACATGTTTTAGAAAAATACAACCAAAATCAATTTCAACTGAGCTCAAACCTTGCATCAATCCAGCAACACTAAAGTCAGCTCTTGGTTCTAATTGAGTCCAGATGATGTTGGATATGTTGAGCCACTGAACAGTGTTGTTATCAATGCCATCTTCTTTTGTAAAGCAGAATCCAAGGACCAATGCTCCATGTTCTTCTTGGTTGAATGCATCTAGGCATACCAGTTCAGCTCCATCTAGTAAACAATGATTAAAAATTTTCAAAAGCCTTTACCGAAATGTGCCTTCAATGACAAGTTTATAGAGATTCCTCTGATTAATGAGTAAACCATTATAACTAGACCAGGACCTGTGCCAGGGCTGTAGTTTATATTGTTAAAATATAAATAACAATGTGTAACTAATACTGTACAGGTGCGGATCTAGAAAAAAAAAAAAGCAGGTAGGGGGAAAGTGACTATCTTCTGTGTGTTTACAAAAAAATTGTAATCGTATATTGGTACAATATGTTTTTACAGAAGACTCGAACTTAGGCCAGTATGTAACACTTTTGTAATGACCAAGCAGTAAAGGCTGGGGTACTGCAACATACAGGCATAATATTGGCGCTGGTTCAAACAGGACACTTGCCTATGGTTCTGGAAAAGGAACAAGTCTTCTCGGATAAGAAAGTGTTAAGGACTCATGTGCACCAGGGTTGTAGCTACGCTGGTCTGCCCGGCAATAGCATTTGGTAACCGTGAATGAGAGCAAATTTTAACTATACGGTTAATAGCCAAAATCTCACAGGCATTCACCCAAGTTTAAGTCGATTGCAAGGCAATTAAAAAAAAAAAAATCACTATGAAATGTTGTTATGTATGTAAGATGATAAACTATGTGGTTAACTGCGATTATTTAAGCCGCAATCGCACTGGATTTAAAATAGGGAAATTTTTACCGAGACTGTGGGTAAACTTCCAATGGGTAAACTTCCTGTCGTTCGCACTGGGATTTATCGACGTGGTTAGTTTTACCACAGGCCATGGTGAAACTAACCATTCGTACAGATTCAACTATTGGGGGCGCTAAATCGTGACATTCACTTCCGGTATGTGTGGCAAAAAAATACCCAAGTTTAAGTCGATTGCAAGGCAATTAAAAAAAAAAAAATCACTATGAAATGTTGTTATGTATGTAAGATGATAAACTATGTGGTTAACTGCGATTATTTAGAAGTGTAATCTAGTTGCTAATCTGTTATTTGCTTTTTTTTTTTTTGGATAAGCAAGTGGCGACTAACACACGGAAGTGGTCTTGTTGCCAAGAGAATTTGAATAAATACATAATAAATAAACAAAAGTACACTAGTCCAGATGATATACAGCACACTTTTGAATGACTGCAATGAATTAAAAACAGAAAATTACTGCCATTGTTAAACGAATAATCAGTGGTACCACAATCACGTATGGATGCGGCGGACATAGTAGCCTAGGGTAACAATCTGGATTCTAGGCTAGCTCTGTTGAAATTATATATTTTATCGAGCTTTTCAGTTTTCTTTTTGGAATTTAAATAAAAGAAGCAGGGACCATGAAATTTAAACAGACTTCACTTCTGGCACATGTTGAAACAATTAAAGAGCAATCAAAAAGGGATTAAGTGATAAAAAATGCTCCCTGCTGCTAAAGCATGCTGGTTTTGCTCCTCTAAAACACTGCAATTTGCAGCAGGCGGTCTGCATTTAACACCCGTTTTGGCGAGAATTGGAAATGGCCGTTTCTGGATTCATATCATGTTAGACTCCACAAAAAACTCCCTAACACACCCTATGTGTATAATTTTAGGAACAAATTCCGTAACAATTATTTCTGTTGGAATTAGTTCTAGGTTTACTATGATTTTGTCACAGATTGACTGGACTAGAGGTGATCCTTAGGGGAGTACAAAGTTACTGTACAAGCCCAAGTTTTATTTGTTTTACAATAGGCCTAGGCCAACTTGGGCAAGACGATCAAACTGCGCACAACAGTCAGCAAAATATCTTTCAATGCGTGTGGATGAGCTGAATCCCTAGAGTCCCCCCTAGGATTACAGCTAGGTCTAGCCTATTATAAAAGAGCTAGCCTAAAATAGCTTCTAGGCCAGGCCTACATTAGACAAAAGAAAAATTTATTAGATTATCAGTCCCGCCCGCGTCAAAAATTTTGGAAATATTGATGCGGAAATAATTTTTTTAAAATTTATTTATTTATTTTTCTTTTTTTTTTTGTTGCATCATTTATTTTAACTGCATAAAAACAACTTTGCAAACAACAAATTGCTTACAAAATATAAAGGAATTCGCAGACTTCAAACTCTTCCAATTGATTAGAACAGACATTGGGATCGCCGTAAAGGTGAAAAAGCAAAGCCCGTTCTTCAAACTTGTTTACTGTCACTAAAAATAAACAGTTCACTAACTGCAGTTAAAAACAGACAACACTAAACAGACAACACTGAAAAGACCCGTCCAGTGGGCTCATCGGATTGTTAATTCACAGCGTTTGAACTTGCGTGCTCCACTGCTGCAGCTAAAAACTGGCAACACCGCGGTCTGTCCCTAAAGAGACCCGTCCAGTGCACTGATCGGATCGTTGATTCACAGCGTGAAGACTCACATGTTAAACAGACTCTAGCTGCTAAAAATAACTTGTTACATAACTGGGCGGCCTTCCTTGTGATGGGTGTGTTTGGTTGTTGTTGGGCAAAAACTAACCTACGACATCAAGAAAGAAAGTTTGGGCAAAGGCTGGCATACAGTAGAGGTGACCGAAGCCTAGGCGGCTATACTGGCTATTTCTAAAATGCCTGCCTAAGTCGCAGTGATTCGGGGCCTACAGTTACTATTAATTACACTGGGCTGCGTAGTCATACAGTTACTAAATTGGAATTAGGCCTAGGCCTACAGTTTATTTATTAACAAGACAAACAATACATGTACGTTAAATAGATGGAAGAAGTATATTTTTGCTATTGCCAATGGGGATGCATAATTTGTCTGAATAAAAGAATGAACTGGGCCTCGGCCTACAGTACATTTTAAAGAAGAGATGATCTAATTTTTTGTTTTTTTTCAAAAACTGACTGAGAACTTAATTTTGTTCCGACTTGCCCACCCTGTAGTCGGTTGCTGGTGATTTCTCACATGTGTATGATACCAACGTAGGCCTTGGTAATATTATTATTAGGCCTATTTTTTCATGCTATTTTTACCTGAATCTGCAGAATCCGCAGAATCAGCAGAACCCACATTTTAGAAATCTTCCCTTTGATGCTCGAGTAATGTCTGATTTTTCCACCGGAATATTATAGGCCTAGTTTTGGACAGGCCACTAAATCACAGGGCAGTTGTTTAAAATGCATCTGCCACTTCAAGAAACAATGTCATGTTCGTTCTGTTCATGCACACGGGAACCCCCAGTATAAACCCCCCACTCAAAAAACAAATTTAAAAAAAAACCTCCGGCCCTCATAATTTGTTTTTAAAAAAAACGAGTGATAAATCAAATAATTTTTTCTATGTGCCCTTAAATAAGAAATGAAGGCTTAATGTAGGCCAAAGGCCTACACCACACAATGTAACGACCTCAACATTAGCTGGTGTGGGATATTGCCCGTATGGCGTTCCATACAAATTCCGGCAGCCGAAGTTTTGTCGATCGCCGGCTGCAAGTTCCTCTTCTACTACTAGGGCTTAGGATACGTCATCCCTCCCTTGACTTGACTTTATTTGGCATCGAAGAACAACAAGAAAATACAATTCAATAGAAAAAAGTTAAAAGCACCAGGACACCAGGTTAAAAACAAACAAAAACACACCAGGGATCGACAGGTCTCCAGCTTCTAGCTCTTTGGAAATTGGCTTCAGTTTCAGGCATCCAGATTCACTTCGCTGAAACCCAATGCAGGTAATCTGACCAGTTTTTCCAGATGATACAATTACGTTGAATGACTCATTAAATTGAGATTTAACCTTACTCATGCCAAATAAATTACTCTGACAAGAAAGAGACCAGAAATGAGCCTGATGAAAATACTTATCTTGGGCCATTTTGTGCGATTTTTAGAGGAGATTAAGTCAGGTCATGTAAAGTACAGTACTTCGCAACGAGTCCCTTTTGAACAGCGCCACCAACTAGCGATTTAGACTTGGCCCAGGTCGCGATTTTTTTTCTGTACGAAACATTTACATGAAACTCCACTCGGGCCGTCTGCGATTTTTTTTTTTCCGTACGAAACATTTACATGAAACTCCACTCGGGCCGTCTCGGCTGAATCGACCCGAAAATCTCATTGCAGAATTCAGGAGGTCAAAAGGTCAACACATAAACGTCTACAGAACAAC